GCAGCTTCAGAACCCAGACGGACCCCCAGACCTCCGGGGTCATGTGACCCATGTCTGAGGTCATGTGACCCGCTTTTGAGGTCATGTGACCCCCCGTACCTGCAGGCGTACAGCATGTTGGACATGAAGGTGACGGGGTTGACGCTGCGGGACGTGTCCATCACGTAGATCACCACACAGGGGAACGACGAGGCCTGAGACACACAAACGCACCGTCAGCACCGCCGCCCTGTTGCCACGGCGACTGACCGGCCGGCGCCACGGCGACGGGCGTCACCCACCAGAGCCTCGGTGATGATGGTTCCGGACGCCGACCAGGTGAAGACCTCGATCTGACCCGGGGTGTCGATCAGGACGTACCTGCAGCGGCACAGACAGTTACCCGTTAACGGCCAATCGCAGGACAGCAGCTCAGACATGTGACCAGTAAAGGCACAAACACGGATTCTGGGCTGTGCTGACCTGTGGTTCTGCCGCTTCTTCTCAATGAACTGCATCACCTGAAGGGACCAAACAGCAGTTACTCCTGTCCTGGTCCAGGTCCAAGTTATGGTCCAGGTGTGTATCTCCTCTCTACAGGTGTGTATCCCCCCCACTACAGGTGTGTTTTACCTCTCTACAGCTGTGTTTCCCCCCCTCTACAGGTGTTTTCACTCTCTACGGGTGTGTATCCCCCCTCTACAGGTGTGTATCCCCTCTCTACAGGTGTGTTTTACCTCTCTACAGGTGTGTATCCCCCCTCTACAGGTGTGTATCCCCCCTCTACAGGTGTGTATCCCGTTTCTACAGGTGTGTATCCCCTCTCTACAGGTGTTTTACCTCTCTACAGGTGTGTATCCCCTCTCTACAGGTGTGTATCCCCCCTCTACAGGTGTGTATCCTCTCTACAGGTGTGTATCCCCCTCTACAGGTGTGTATCCCCTCTCTACAGGTGTGTTTTACCCCTCTACAGGTGTGTATCCCCCCTCTAGAGGTGTGTATCCCGCTCTACAGGTGTGTATCACCCCGTGTGCACAGATCCAGGTGTTCTATCCAGAGAACAGCTGTCCAGCCTCTAAAGGGAGGACACCTTCGGGGGTCACCTGATCGAAGCGCGTGGCGAACAGGTTGAGGGAGGTGACGATGCCCCCGTTGGGCCCCAGTCGGTACTGCTTCATCACTTCCTTGTAGTTCACCGTGTCCCTGATGTCTGCACACGAGAGAAAGGACTCAGACAGAACTCCAGAGTCTGAACTCCTCCCGGCAAAGCTGAGGAGCTTTTCCCGAACTTAGCCGGATCCTCACCGATGTTGGCCGGAAAGGGGACCTCGTGGACGGCTGGGTCCAGGTTGATGACGTAGGGAGGAGCTTTCAGAGAGTGGAGGTGGGCCGTCAGCCTCTGCAGCACAGTCAGAACATGAGCACACTTCCTGTTCCCCTCTGCACAGGTATCCCCTCTCTACAGGTGAGTATCTCCACTCTACAGGTGAGTATCCCCTCTACAGGTGTGTTTACCTTCTCTACAGATGAGTATCCCCTCTCTACAGGTGAGTATCCCCTCTCTAGAGGTGTGTTTACCCTCTCTACAGATGTGTTTACCCTCTCTACAGGTGTGTTTACCCTCTCTACAGGTGAGTATCCCCTCTCTACAGGTGAGTATCCCCTCTCTACAGGTGTGTTTACCCTCTCTACAGATGAGTATCCCCTCTCTACAGGTGAGTATCCCCTCTCTAGAGGTGTGTTTACCCTCTCTACAGGTGTGTTTACCCTCTCTACAGGTGTGTTTACCTTCTCTACAGATGAGTATCCCCTCTCTACAGGTGAGTATCCCCTCTCTAGAGGTGTGTTTACCCTCTCTACAGATGTGTTTACCCTCTCTACAGGTGTGTTTACCCTCTCTACAGGTGAGTATCCCCTCTCTACAGGTGAGTATCCCCTCTCTACAGGTGTGTTTACCCTCTCTACAGATGTGTTTACCCTCTCTACAGGTGTGTTTACCCTCTCTACAGGTGAGTATCCCCTCTCTACGGGTGTGTTTACCCCCTCTCTACAGGTGTTTACCTTCTCTACAGATGAGTATCCCCTCTTTACAGATGTGTTCACCCTCTCTACAGGTGTGTTTACCCTCACTACAGGTGAGTATCCCCTCTCTACAGGTGTGTTTACCCTTTCCACAGATGTGTTTGCCCTCTCTATAGGTGAGTATCCCTTCTCTACAGGTGAGTATCCCCTCTCTACAGGTGTGTTTACCCTTAAGTCTGTACAATCTAAGTAAGTCTTGACAGGAAGGCAGCAGTTTGTAAACTTAAACAGAGTTTTATGAATAGTATTTCACTATACTCACTAAACTCAGAGGAAACATAATAAATAATCCCCTGAATAATCGCCGTCTATTTCCCGGCCCAGGACATAAACGGAGCCCCTGTGAACTACCGTTATTTCGGAGTAAAACACCGTGACGCAGGACCACGCACGCGCAGCCAGCAGCTCGTTAGCTGCACGCGCTAACGGCACCGGGCTCACCTGGACGAAGGTGGTTTTCCCGGAGCCCGCCATCCCGAGTACGATGAGACACACGGGCTCTTGGCCACCCTCCGCCGGGGCCCCTGCACCCTCCACCGGGGGCCGGCCGCCCTCCCCCGGGGCCCCTCCGGCCCCCGCCGGGGGCCCGCCGCCCCGCTGCTCCTCCACCGAAGCCGGGTCCGCGACCGGAGCCTGCGCCGTGGCTGCCATGTTGATCCGCGTTGTGGTTACCGGCTGCCGTAAAGACGGACGGCGATGTCGTAAAACGGAAGTGCGACGAAAAAGCAACCGGAAGTGAGGAAAAAAAACAACCGGCTCAGCTAAGCTGATGTAAAGTTAATGCAGATCTGTGTTTTATGTAAATAAGCAGTTGAATCTCTAGAATATTTACTTATGTCAGGTCAATATTCACAAATTTTTTTTACCTGACTTTGGGAACCGGGTTGTTCTTAAATCTAACTTCGTTTGGTTCTGATGACATTTTATTTTATCTGGAGAACACGAATCCAGCTTTCTCTGATGCTATCAATATAATTTTATGTTTATGTTTATGCATTTGGCAGACGCGTTTGTCCAAAGCGACTTACAGAGTAGATACAATATTACATTTCTAATCACCATGACAATAAGCTATACAGAGGAGAAACACTGATCAGAGTCAGTGGTGACAGCAAGAGATAGAGGTAGAGGGGACTACAGAAGGAGTTGTGGTATTGGCACGGGTTAATTTTTCTTTTAAATTAATATAATTTTCAGTGCAATAAGTGGAGAGGTATCAAGCCCTCCTTCCTTTCTTTTATAATACATTTATGTACAGTTAAAAACGGTACAATTACAATAATGTTCAATTGAAAACTGTTATAATCATCTCACACCAGAGAGCAGTGTATGTAACACTATGGTTTTGCTCCTTACTGTTCCTTACTGTTCTTTTGTTAGTACTTGTAGTCTTCCATGAGTTTGGATTCTTGAGTCTCATTTATGTTTTTGTACTGTTGT